CTGCCAACTTGTGAAATTATTTTTTGCACTTATGTTACAAATCTCAGTTTGGCTTGAGCCAAAGTCCCTAACAAGTTGGACGAACTCCTCGGGATGCTGTAGGTCATGCCTCTTTCCCTGTCCCCCTTGACAGTTGCTGTCATTATTAACCTTCTTACTCGTAGAGGAAAGTGAGGCACGAACATTTGCCTAACACAATGTTTAACCACCCTTCACTCTAGCTGAGAGAGTCTTCATCTCACCTTTGATACAGTGCAGAGTAGTATCCAGGGCAGTGGGCTGAACCTCCCGTATGAATTAAAATGTGTTCTTACATGCATAAAAGTCTACCTTTGCAAACAATGAATTGCTGGAACCAAGAATGGCAAAGACATGACCAGACACAATTATCAACACAGGAAAATATTTTTCTCGGGTACCATGCTAGGAGTGTTGAAGGAGAAAAAGGAAACAGAATATATTATCGCTTCTCAAAAAAAATTCCCAATTTAGGCAAAAGAATAAACCATAGACCTGTGAAATTACTGGCCACGCTCCAGAGGTAATTGCTATGTTGGATAATAGCAATATAGGTAAAGAACAAGAAAGCCCTTAACAAGACACTCATCTTATAGAGTTCTACTCTAGTTAACCCTGAACAGCTCTAGACCTTGGAACAGAAAGTAATGATAAAGCATCAACTATAAATGCAGTGTAAGAGCTGAATGGTATGTGTGTCTGGAAAAGTTCTTAGGTCTGAGTATCAAAAGTTCTGGGGTCACATTAATATTCCTAGCTTTTGGGGCTGGCTGGGGTTGAGCTCAGTGATGGAGGAAATGTTCAGCATGTATAGAGTGCTGCAATCAACCCCAGCACCAGCACAGAAATGCCCCGCTTCTGAGCTCCATCTGCTGCGGCACTACACTGTCCTGGACCACTCCATTTCTTACCGTGTTCCTGAGTAACAACACCACACTCTAAATCCTAACCACTTTTCCTTTAAATGGGCGAGAGCACTTAAAAACGGAATGGGAGAATACTGCAATTTCGATATCACTGGTATTTCTTATAGACTGGTCTTCGTGGAATGTCTGCTACTAAGTCAGTAAGTTTGAATAGAATCTGCTTCGGGGTAGCTGTTGAGCACTGAGATTAAGAGCACAGTGTCTGGCAGGTGGATGGGTTTGGATTCTAGTCCTGTCACTTACTGCATCTATGTCAATGTACCTAACTTCTCTAACTTGCCAAGTATTATACCAAGATTTGTCAAATAGCATTGGGACATGGAATATATAAGCCATGTTAGCATCTGGCATGCCGTAAATGGTCAGTAGAGTCGCTTGGTACCTGTACTATAACAACACAGCGGCTGGAGAGAGTATGGGCCAGATATTGTACCTAGTGTTGAGCACTCAGCAAAGACAGCAGCAGCCTCTCCCCCCAGGAGACAGGCATCGAGGAAAGTAGGCAAGAGGGCAGAGAACTGTTAGGAGAAGAAAAACACTAAGTTTCATAAAACAACACACCATACTGGTAAGGAGCATCATCAAAGGCTTCTAAAACTACAGGATCTGTTGCAAGTTGTTCCATTTTGCCCCTAAGTCCCCTAAGGATGAGAATGCTGTGGCTTGAGTGTGGTGTTACATAGCAAGCACTTCATTTGGTCTTGGCATACAAGAAATGTTCTGACATCCATCCAGTGAGTGAGTGAACAAGCCAATGAAGAAAGGGACTCTTCAAGTGACTAAGTGGGATTTACACCGTGGAGGTGACAAGGTGTTTCAGCCAGGTGTGTGTGTGTGTGTGTGTGTGTGTGTGTGTGTGTGTGTGTGTGTGTAGCCACTGCAGGAAATCAAATCACAATGAAGGGAAGGAGCCAAAGTGCTGTAGGCCGAAAGGCTCACCTTTCTGACCACCAGAAGTGAGGCTGAGAAGGGAGCAGAGCCACGGGGGTGTGGGGTGTGGGGTGTGGAGGGCTACGTCACATAAGGAGCTTGAACCGGATGCTAAGAAACTGAGAATCTGTGAAGGGTTCATCAAGAGAAGGGCATAATCAATGTGTGTGCTTCACAGTTCACTCTGCCTTATAGAAAACACCAATGATATAATCTATTCCAAGAATGAACGCTTTTGCTGGGTATTGGTGGCGCACACCTTTAATCCCAGCATTCGGGAGGCAGAGGCAGGCGGATCTCGGTGAGTTCAAGGCCAGCCTGGTCTACAAGAGCTAGTTCCATGACAGCATCCAAAGCCACAGAAAACCCCCTCCAAAATAAGAATGAAAACTTTTACACTCTTAAAATCATCATTTGGTCATGAGTATTTTGTTTTAGTTATTTATTTCCATATTAACATACCATCTCAAAGCCTAGAAGTTTAAAATGACGACTTATTTTTCATGAGTCTGTGGGTAGGCGGGGGGTCAATTGTGGGGGTTCCTATGAGATCTGCAGGTGAGGATCTAGAGGACTCAGCAGGAAGCCCAAAAAAGCACCAAGATGATCTCATTCTCAGAACCCACTCTCCACATGGTCTCTTTCTGGCTCAGTGCAAGCTCCTATGCGGCAAAGCAGAGGACTGGAGGACAGAGTAGCTACCAGTTTTCTTAAACTTAGGCTTGCACACACACTAAGTTTCTCCCACTGCACTTTAATGTAGGCAGGCAAGCCAACTACAAGAGTAGCTGCAATTCAAGGGAAGCAGGATCCATTGGTTGACAGAAAGAGCGTCACGGATGCTAGGGGAAGTTAGACTACCTGACTGCTACTCTGGGAGACTCTCTCCCAGTCCGACAGTAAGTTGTTGGATATTCCTGGTACTTACAGGAAAACTGAATTCCAAAGAGACCAACGGGGGCTCCAGCATAAAGGGCTTGGCTAGCATACACAAGATCTTGGATTCAATCTTGACATTTCAAAAAAAAAAAAGGGACAAAGTGAATGTCTTAATCTATATAAAAACTGAAGTGGACTGCCTGTATCAAGTGATAACTCATGTGTGAGATTTAAGGGGAAACACCATTCTGCATATGCAGCCCATAGGTCTATAATTAGTTTCAATGTTAACCCTGGAGGGTTTATTAAAACACAGAATTTATGTAATGCCACGTCCTGGAACAGGAGGCAGAAGTAAGGTCAGATGGGTGGAGACACAGGGCCTTGGCACAACAACTCACCAAGCACAACAGAAAAGCACACCCAACTTACCCCCATAAACCACAGCATCAAAACCAAAACAGCCAAATCTTTTGTCAGCTCAAACGGGTGGATCACCAATGAGGTCAAAACGGTAGCCTCTCCCCCAATGTTGTGATGTGTGGATGATACTTGAGTTTCAGTATTACTCATCACTGCCTTGAGAAAGGCAACTGATTGAATGACACCAAGCTTGTGAGCCCCAAGTAAATGCACACACACACACACACACACACACACACACACACACAAAGCTCTATCCCATCCACATAGCTGCCAGTTCACCAGCTTTAACATGTTGTAGCTTCAGGAACTGACAAGGAAAAAAAAAAAGGCCAGCAACAGTTTCAGAATTTGAGACCTACATATCATGACTTAGGTTTCTCCCTTATTGAGAGGGACCTTTTGTACAATTTTTCAAGACAATTTTATTCAAATGTCTTAAAACGTTAAATAGACATCAAGCACGGGCCAGAACCAATCAAAACTGGAATAAAAGATATTGAGTATAGCATAATAACCATCTTGATAGAAGGGGGTGGGGGTCATCCCAACCAAACCAGTAGCAGAAAAAGAGCCAGTCAAGAGATACAAACAATATAAATGATATCCTCCAAATGTGGCTAGTGACTCTCCAGAATACAAGTAGGAGACAAAGACATCAGCCAACTTGAATTCTGATTCAGTGAGATAGACATACAAGAAGAACAAGTTTAAGAGTAATCAGAAACTTCCCAGTAGAATGGGCAGGGTGAATTAACAATTAGGAGCTCAATGAAGAGATCTAGGCTAAATATATCAAAAACTAGAAGTAGAAGAGATGCAACCATGGACAGATTCACCCAGCAAGAAGACCTAGTGAGAAAAACAATACAATCCAGGGGTTGATGAGGCTTCCAAGATTGGGAAGGCCACAAGTGACCTTTACATTACAACCATCAAAGTCAGCAGCAGAACATACTGCCAAAGCTACTCAGTGAGGGTCATCCTAGAGCAGATTCTTCACTGGGAAGGTAGGATGCTGCAGTGGTTTGAACAAGAATGGCCCCCGTAGACTCATAGATTTGAATACCTGGTCACCAGGGAGTGACCTATTAGGAGGTATGACGTTTGAGTAGATGTGGTTTGTTGGAGGCATCACTGGGGTTAGGCTATAAGGTTTCAGATGCTAAAGCCAGGCCCAGGGTCACTCCTGCTGCTTGCCAAGCCAGACGTTGTATTCTTGGCTCCAGCACCGTGTCTGCCTGTGCACCACCATGCTTCCTACCACAAATAATGGACTCAGCCTCTGAACTGTAAGCCAGACCCAAATAAATGTTTTCTTTTATAAGAGTTGCTGTGGTCATGGTGTCTCTTCACAATAGAAACCCTAAAACAGAAGTCTTGCCCGTTATCTCCGGGCAGACAGCACATAAAAGTTACTCAGAAGTATGATTTGCTAACCAACTAGAAAACAAGTCTACAAAATCCAACTAGAAAGGGAAACCTATACAAAAAATATTTTTAAAATTTGTGATGCATGCCTTTAACTCCAGCACTTGGGAGGCAGAGGCAAGCAGATCTCTGGGAGTTCGAGGCCAACCCAGTCTACATAATGAGTTCTAAGAGAGCCAGGACTAAATAGAGAGACCCCATCATCTCAAAAAGGAAAAAAAAATAAGCCGAGAGATACAAAAAGTAAGATGCTAAGAAACTAGTGGGACTCCATTACCAAACATACCATGCTTATTCACCCAGCAACATTCCAGAGTGTGCAGTGTACAGCCTGGCCTTCTTTATACCATCTCATTGCCTTTCAGAGAGAAGAAACACACATTTGGACTAGTGTGGCATCTCAGAAAGTTTAATATGAATCCACCCCAGAGACACATCAATTTTCAAGTGACAGGTTCCTTTTTGGTATTTCCAAAACTCGGGGCCAAAATAACAGAGGAACCACAACCCAGAGGGTTCTCATCAGCAGTTAAAAGGCTGATGGGGAAGCCCTCACCTTCACTTCAAGTCTTTGTGATGAAATTCACCAAGTGCTTTTACCAAAAATCAATTAAAAACTAAGGTAAGGAGAACTCATTAATATTTTTTTTATTTTGAATTACGGAACTATTCTGACTTAAAAAAAACCTACTTTGGAAAACACCTCAATGGGCATTGACTTACTAGTAAAAAGAAGTCATCAATGTCTGGGAATACAGAATACACAATAAATTATATTTACATGCACTAACCAGATTACCACACACACAAGGTAAAAAAATACAGTATTTTATGTACATTTTTAAAGATTTACATTTTCACATAGGTTTATAAAGTTAAAAATTCTCTGTACAAAATCTTCTGTGTACAGTGTACACATCCCCATCCTTATGGCTGTATCACCACACAGAATTGCTTTGAACTAATACTATAAACATTGGAGCTCTTTCACTTCATATTCAAATCTTGGCACCCATATACAATACATTATGAAAAGTGAGATACAAAACAATCAGAAAGCAATCATGCAGATCTTCAATACAAGAAAGTGAGATGAACTCAATCAGTGCTAATCAATTCCATTTCCTGCTCTGTTCCATACAAGTGCATGCAAAACTAGAAGATTATGGGTCTTTTAGATAACAACAAAATAATACTACAGTCTGACAATACTTAGGTATTAAGAATGCAACTAACAGCCCTAGCATGATGACAATTTCTGCTTTAGCAGAAATCTCAAGGCATTTAGAAACTAAAATTCACAGACATGTCAATATAACTCTTAATGTGTAGGATCTGTATCAGACAGTAACTAGCATTAGGAAACAAGGTTGGTGTTTGACACTCAAGAGTCCTGTACAGTCTATTTTGAGAACGGGAAAAAAGAAACCCGAGACAAACCACGAAAGGCTTATCCACTGTCCCTGCTAAGGAAGCACTTGCACACTCCCGATCTGTTAAATAAAGACACCTGAAGGCTCTACAGTTTACGATGAGCGACACTACTCATCATTAAAAATCTTGAAAAGTAACAAAGGTACCAGCACCTTCCTTCCTCTGCACAGATAGTCAACAAGAAAATAAAGTGCCAATGTATAAAGTACTGTTAAGAGGCACTAACCCATTTGATGGCTTAGGATTAAATATGAAAACAGGCCAGATCTGACCTGAATAATAAATAGAAGGTAGGTATTCCAGTCTGTAATTCCTGTCTAGATGGGGACTACACTAGAGAACTACCTACTCCCCATTTATTGCTTTGAAACAGGTGCATTTCCTTAAAATCCTGACACAGACCACGGGAATTCTAAGACGGAAAGCACAGTGTCTGAGCCACTTTGAAGTCAAAAAAGAAGGTGCACTCTTGATCACTGGGCGGGGAGCTGCCGGGACTGTCCTCTCCACAACTCATGTCTTCACAAGAGTCCTCACTGAAAGGGAAGAGACAAGAGGGTGTCATTGCTTAAAGCACAGACGTCTGCAGGCAAAATACAATAACTTGATGCAGTTATTCTAAAGCTAACCATTATTTACACAGTTGAGCTGAAAGTCAAGTCTCTTGTCATTAGAAGATTTTTTCCCTTAACAATAGTTTTCATTTATTTATACACAGGGGCTTTTTCTACATAGCCCTGGTTGTCTGGGCACTCGAGACCAGGCTGGCTTTGAACTCACAGAGATCCTCCTACCCTTGCTTCTCAAGTGCTGGGATCAAAGGCATGCGCTGTCCCCATCTTAAGAGAGCTACTACAATTTGTATTCTCTACCTACTATACCTGTACCATTAACTGTAGCAGAGTAACCATGGAATCCTAAGTATCTTCAATCCAGTGGGGACACTACAGTCTGTTTAACAGTCTTCCCTTTATCAGTTACCCTGCCACAGCTTCTCTCAAATACCAAAGCAAGAACATACACTGTGAAATTGGAGTGTCAGGTCCTTACCTGACAGCAGAGAATATCAAATTTAGTAAAGTTCATGTTACAAACAAAAATAAGTGGTGGCATTTGGCAAACGAGTGTATCAGAGAGTCTGTGGGGATGACAAAGGCTCCCGTACTCCTGCCTCCTCCCACGAGAACATTTCAGTGAAAAGCCCAGGACTGTTCCAATTGTTTTTGTTTTAATAATGGGACTGTGTCTCAAAAAGTAAGGAGAATGGGAAGACAAAAAGCATTTTCTGAGGTGGGGATTTACAAACTGTCTATTACTGGTTAATTTTCTGGCTTGAAAAAAAAAACAACTACCACATGAAGAGGGATTTTTCTCTTACAACTCTCCACAGGGGATTTTTTTAAAAATTCTTTTAAAGAGACAGTGTCCCTCACAAAACAGTATTCTTGAACTCCATACACAGCCAAGAGTGATCTCAAATTTCTGGCCCTCCTACCCCCAACTCTCAGTGCTGGGACTACATGCATGTGCCACCACACCTGGTTCACACAGATTTAGGGACCAAAATCAGTGCTTCCTGCATGCGAGGCAAACCCTTCCAACTCCACGCCCAGTTCTTTAACTTTTTAATTACGGTTATTTACTTATTTTAGGGAGGGGAGGGGGTGTACTGTGTGTGCCTATTACAGCATGTGTAGAGGTGAGAAAAATAACTTATAGTGGTTGGTTCTCCTTCTACCATCTTGGGCTCTGGGGCTCTGACTTGTCAGCAAGGGGCATTACTTGCTGAGACATCTTCATGGCCCCTATAGCTATTTTTTATGCACAAACCCATCATTCTATTTAGTCTGTGGAAGATGCCTGCTTACCTCTCACTTCCATCAAAACAGCCCCCCTCTGGGATGGTTGGCAGCTCGGGAACGCTATAGTAGCTGTTGTGCAGGTTTTGCGCTGTGCGCCTTGAAACAATCCAAACCAGCTTCTTCAGGTCAGGTTTGCAGCATTCAGGAGAAGAATACTCTGCTAGGCATTTAGACACCAATTCCTTCCAATAAAAGAATTCCATGTCGCTGATCTGGGTGTAAAGATGAATGAAGCTGTTATAAATGATGGTTCTTAGCCTTCACTGCCTCTTGAAATCACAGGTGCTGGGGATTCTGATTCAGTTGAAGAGAGTATTACCTGGGTACTAAGAAAGATTTTGCCTGTTCTAAGAAAACACTGACCTAAAACCAAGCCTGCTAAAAAAGCACTGAGTGCATGTTTAGTAGTGAGTGCCAAAGAAATGTAATATCTTTGTTACAAAAAACATCTCTTTTCTGTAACAAATGTTTCTTGAACAAATCAGTTTGGACTGCTTATAATATACACTAATATTATGGCATCAGATAAAAACCAAAGTCACTGTGAGCAAGGAAATTCTCAAAAAGGGCAGTTTCTCCCCATGTTCACCAAACATGCAGATCCTTTCAGGTGTCACCATCATGCTCAAGTTCAGAGAGACAGAGCTACACAGACAAAAGTCAACACCTCCAACAACTATCTCACGCTGTATGCAATTCTACCACAGACAGAAGCCTTGTATTCAATTTCTAACAGGCTCATCTGGCTCAAGAAGCCCATTCACTATGGAGCCTAAACTAACTTCCAGTTCATAATCCTCCTGCCTCAGTCTTTGAGCTGCTGGGATTACGCCATTACATCTGACTTAAGTGAATTTTTCCAATCATTTTGGCCCTGACTTCCACTGAGTCTGGCTCTATCTTTAGCTCTTTGTAATCTGGCATCTACTGGTCCCTTTCACTACTCTGCACATATCTCCTCAATAATCTCCTTTGGCTTCCACTGGCTTTTCCATCAAAACTCAGAGCACTTTGCCATCTTTAAAAAAAAAAAAGCTGTTCTACTGTTACTTGTATGTGTGTGTACAACTTTGTGGAGACGGTTTTTTTTATTGTGGATTCTTAGATCCAAGTCTTAGTCATCCATGATTCCTTGACTCATCTAAACACTTGGCTTCTAGAAGACTGCCTTTTGAACTGGATACATTTAGTCCTGTTTGTGACTGCAACCTAGCCATTCTACCTTACAATGGTGTTCCCAACTCACCTAACCTATCCATTTCTTAACCCTAAATCTTTGCTATCCAAACCTTCATTCTTGTAGATGATGGCTTTTCAGTCAGGCTCCTAGTCAAAGTCTCCTGGATTTCCCGTTTCTTTGCCAATAACCCCAAAGTACTTCTCATATTCATCATTATCTAACACTAAGTCACAATGATAATAAACATCATGCCATGTTAAAATTTACATTTCTTTAACAAGACTTAAACTAGGAAGTAAGAAAAAGCACTATGCTTTTGCTTTATTTTTTTACCATGACTGCAAAAATTTATAGGAGCAGCCTACCTAAGGGGCTTTAAAAAATGCTGGTAATTTTGGTAGTGCTACTGAGATGAATTAATCCTACACATACATATATGGGGGGTCATATATCATCTTAGTGTATTCAGTGTACTTTTTGTACACAGCTGAGGGCAAGCCCTGGGGGAATGCACAGCTATCCTGCTATAGGGCACAAGTCCCCAGGAGCACCTGCACTCAGAAAGAAGCTGGGCTACGTGAGAGTTTCTTCGGGCTTGATACTGTCTGAGTCAAAGCCGGATTTTGAGAGTTACAACACCTGACATACAAGGAAAATGAACACATGCTGAGAACTTCACAAAGTATTATATAAAATATTTAAGACACGACAAGAAAACAAAGCCTGAAGATATTTACCTTCAAATGTTTTTTAACAAACAGGAGAATTTCCAGCAATTCAACAGATTTTATTGTTTCTATTTCCAAATTGAGAAGGCACAGAGCTAATACAGATGGCTACAAAAACAAACAAACAAACATTAGGGAAAAATCAAAATATAAACTGAGATTTATGTAAATAAGAAAGACTCACTTTTGCTTTTGAAAAGACAAGTCGGCAGCTGCAAGCTTTCAGTTGAGCTTCTAGCTTATCAAGGCTCAGTATTTCCTTCCTGTACAAAGCAGGGGAGAAAGATTTATTCCACCTTCAGAGAAGTTACTTGGGCTTTGAGGACTCAAATCCAAGCTACAAGTTCAGATGGAGTAAGAACACTGATTTACCAAGCAATCGAATTTCCTACTGAAAGCTGAAGTGACACTCAAGGCATAGGGATGTTCCCCAGAGTCCCACTCACCTTTCTGAAGTATGACAAAATACAATTGCATGGTATAAGTGCAAAAAGTTTAAGGCAGTAGTAGCTTCCAACTCGTAGTGCAATTTCTCTGAGATTATCTTCTCCATTCGTTCAATGTCAGAAGCTGTGCATTTACACTGACTGATCCTGATCACATCATGAGTGGGTGGGACATTTTGTTCTTCTTCTACCATTCTAGCAGCCAGCAAAAAACAACAGACTCCAATGCAAGACAAATGCTTTGGCTTCACCTAAAAAAACAGAGCAAAGGGGACCCCAACAATCACCGCTTTGATGTAGCAAGACCGACACCTGAACAAGCATCCTGCTGCTTCTCTTATATGCCCTTGCCTTTACTTGCAACTGTTCTTAAGTTTTAGACCATCATCACCTCTCTTTAAAAGGAAAAACGGCTCTATGAACACTTGTTAAATTTAAATGCATGTAGAAATAATCCCAAAGCTTGTTCAAAAGCTTGCTTTCTGGCTCTGAGTCATACTTTGTATTTGAGACCTAGTAAAACTGAGAATAGTCCATCTTCCCTCAAAGCAATCCTTTGACCACACTCATGAACATGCACACACCACACAGCATTCTACTGCTCTGGATAAAGGAAGCCTCCTGCATCTACTCTCTTTCCACAAGACTCTACCATTACATAATGTAATCTCGCCCAGGAGAAGAATCCTGAATCCCATTAACTCACTCTCTCTCTCATTCTCTCTTTCTCTCTCTCTCCCCTCCCTGCCTCCCTCCCTCCCTTTGTCTCTCTCTCTCTCTCTGTGTGTGTGTGTGTGTGTGTGTGTGTGTGTGTGTGTGTGTGTGTGTGTGTAAGACATATGTAGAGCTGCAATGGACAGATGGAAGCCCTTTTTCTTTTCTTTCCAAGTGCCCTAAAAGGTGACCCAGCAGCTGACAGTGATTCTATTGGCCAGAGAATTTCCAATTTTTTAACAGTTGCTGCTGACTATTAATAAGACTGTGGCTCCCTGCTTTGAAAGGGGTCAACTTTAATATACTGTTACACTTCATTTGTCATGTTTCAGTATTAAAAAAACATGTAGGTGCCAGGTGTTGGTGGTGCCCGCCTTTAATCCCGGCACTCGGGAGTCAGAGGCAGGCAGATCTGTGAGTTCGAGACCAGCCTGGTCTACAGAGTGAGCTCCAGGACAGCCTCTAAAACAATACAGAGAAATCCTGTCTTGAAAACAAAACAAAACAAAACAAAAAACCAACCAACCAAACAAACAAAAAACAAACATGTAGGCTCCAAGAAAAACATGCTGAAAAATGAAAATATTAAAATCTCCCTCCCCAAAGCAATATTTAACTTTTCTTTTTTTAAATAAAAAGTCTAGCTTCTTTTATGTCAGTCTGGGCAGTTTTATAAGTGATCCTGTAACAGATATCTCCATGGCATTTTTTTAACAAAGTGAATTTTAATGAAGTCACCTTCTACCTCCCCTAACCCCATGTAAACACTAAGTACTCAAACCATGACTGTCTTCCTTTTGTAATTTCTTTCAAGAGAACACATTTAAGAGGTACAACAGAACCTTACTTAAGATCTAGAAATACAAAGTAATTCTGATTACTTTAAGTTGATGTACAGGATGCTTTATTACATCCATTTGACAAATATTATTGAGCCCTGTGCATTGGACACTGTGTTGGGCACCTGGCATTGAAAAATCCATACTGTCAGATGTTGTGGCAAACACCTTTAATCCCAGCACTCCAGAGGTGGAGGCAGGCAGGTCTCCGAGCCAGAGGTCAGTATGGTTTACAGAGCTAGCTCCAGAACAGCCAGAGCTACAGAGAAACCCTGCCTCAAAAACCCAAAAATGAAAGTAAGGATAAACAAAACCCCTTTAGATTTTATAAAAATGATTAAATACCTTCATAAGAGCCAAGAATCTATCCAAAATGTTGACAGCCAGAACAAAAGTTTCAGTGCAAGATCCAAAAAAGTTAGTTAAACTTCTTAAATCTTCTACTTTGGCATTTCTCAATCTTGAACATAAAGTGTTATCATTCTGAAATTAAAAAACCGAGAAGCAAAGTTTATTTTCTTAGACGTGAATACACGGATCCAGAAACTATACTCCCCCCTTTAGTTTTCAACATTTTATGAGTATGAGCTACCTACAGCTATCTATATATTTTCAGACACAAGACATAAATCACTGCCTCTAAAAATTATCAGATACAGAAGAGCTTTAGCAACTGAGGCAAGGAGGAAGTGTTTGCTGCCCCATTCCAGACAGTTCCAGTAGATTTTTGTTTCCCTTGGAACAGAGAGTGTTCCTTGATGGAGCTTCTGTTTTCTAAAATAATTGAAGATCCTATAGTAAGTACTCCCCAGGAAGTCCCCACCATTTGGAGAAATGCCTCTTCTTTACACTTGGTATAACTTCCGCTTGGAACCAAAGCATAACCTTGCAGTTGAAGGTTTTTGTTAGTACAGGAAGGCCATTTTTGGATTTAATTTCGTAGCCTTCAGAATTGACTTAACTGGGAAAACAAAGTTACTTTCTCCAAGTCATACCAATTATCAAATTTACCTCTGGGGTAGCTTCCATCAAGCTCAGCCCTTTTTCTCGAGGTTGGAATCTCTGTTCTTGTTCCAGGTAGAAGTTCAACAACCCGAGAAGCTGAACCCCTTCACCACCTGCCAAGTGCTCGGCCCCCAGATCCTTCATCTGCAGCAAACACACCGTGGCCGGTTAATGCGGGTATGAAGGGAGCGAGGGAGCAGAGAAGAGTTGGCCACGAGCCCTCCAGCTAAGGACACCCCAGCTCACACAAGCCAGACTCGGGTGAGGGGATCGGTCACGTCTGACAGCCCCAGGGAATCCTCCCCTAAAGCCAAGGAGGCGTGGCATGTGACAAGGATCTCGGCCACCTCCGCTGGCCAGGGTTGGGTCAGACCAGCTCTCTGGTTGATAGTGTTGGGCAAACAGGAAAACTGCCCGAGGAGCGTAATGTTCCCAACTGTCCGCATCACCTGAACAGCACAAGAGGGTCTTGTGCCTAGAGGATGCGGGGGACCGGGAGAACTGAAGCCACCGGAGCGGGTTCTGGGGCGGGGCGTTGCACAAAAGGAGCGAAGGGAGGGGGAGTCTCGAGACTGAACAAAGAGCTGGAAGGAGGAGGCGTCGGAGCCCCGCCCCTCCCCGGGAGCCCCGCCCCGGGACCCCCCTCTCACGGTGCCCACCTCCAAGCTGTCCCCTCCGCTTCTGCAGCTTCCACAAGCTCAGCAGTTCAGACAGGGCGGCCCATCTAGCTGTGGCAGGGGACAGGAGTCCGGTCGGTCTACGCCGATCACGAACACAAAACCTCGGTTCCGCAACGGTGCGGAGCCCCGGGGCTGTCAACCCCGGGGTAGCCACCCATCCCTCAAAACATCCCCGTGGCCCTTGTCAGTCCCCGGGCTGCAGCTGGAGACCCCAAAGCAGGACCCGGCCGCTCTCGGGGGACTCCCCCGCCGCAGCGCGCCGCGATCCCAACCCGTAACCACGAAATCCAGAGCCACCCGGGAGGCCCACTCACCGTGCGGGCCCCGGCGTCGCGAACCGGCGCGGCGGGGGCGTCCGGACCCGTGTCCGAGGTCGGGGACCAGCCGCTTCAGCGGTGCCCCGGGACCCGCATCCGACCTCCGCGGCCGCCGCCCGGCCTCACAGCCCCGGCTGCATCCTGCTCCTCGGCGGGGCGCAGCGCCCGCCCCTCACCGCCGCTTCCTCCCGGCTCCGCCGCAGCCTCCCGAGCCGAGCAAACCCCTTGTTTTTGTTTTCGGTCTGAGACGCCCCCAAGGGGCGGGGCGCGTGACTCCGCGCGGAGGGATCCTCTCGCTTCCTCAAAGGATCAGGAAAAGAGTCCCTGCTCCCAGCCTGTCCCAGCTGCCTCTGCTCCTCCTTAGGCTTGGCGAGCCAGGTTCTGGGGTGGAGAGTGGCATCAGGATTTTTAGCCTCATTCCAGGATGGACTCGGAAGGGGGTAAAGATGAGCAAGCCGGTTGGAGGGCGGAAGGAGACCGCTTCTGGGCGCATCACACCTTTTAAAGGTCCCCCCGATTTGTTTTGTTTTCACTGTTTTGAAAAGTCCGCCCAAAGTAGCCGGCTCTCTGATTGGATACGGGTGGGGCATGTCGAACGCTGAGGCCTTGATTTAATCTCGATTCTGGATTGGCTGTCTGATAGCTGTTGCGTCCTCTGATTGGCTCTCGCCATATCCTGAGTTTCTTATCTGCCTCCGGGACCTTAGCAACTCCGGGGTCTGGATTGCGCATGCTTGGGTGGAAGGCATTAGTGGCTCTCGCTTACGTGCCGGGGTCCACAGCTGCCTTCCGGATCTAGCTCAGTCTGGGCCGAAGACTGACGGCTCGGGTCACACCCCTGAAAGTTCAGAGTCACGTAAATCTGTAACTGCGTTCCTACGACCGGAAGACCGTTTTCAGCGTCGTATTTGTACCACAGATGTATTTTGCAATAAGCAGTCAAGCTATAAAATTTCGAGGATGCTTACTGAAATATTCTTCAGTAAAATGCTGTAATGATTTGGCATTTGCCTAAAAGACTTCCAACTTAGGGGGGGAAAACTAGATTCAACTAGTTGGGCACACAGCTTTTTTTTTTAATCGAAGCTGGGCAGTGGGTAGTAGAAGTTGAGTTACAGAATTGCTAGTGCATTTGTGTACCTGGAAAATTTTTTCCATAATAAAAAGTTCAAAGGAGAAACGTTTCAATAAAAACTGCACATTGATGAGGGCATATAAATATCTAATAGTTATTATAGCGTGCTTTCAGAGGTTGTGGTTGTGCTGTTTTTTAAATGAAAGCTCCCACACCACTTGGTCCCTTGGTCGCCCATAAATTATCATTTATTGTGTATTATAATTAGCGTTGCTATTAAGGTGACACCTCTCCCGAGGCAGAGCAAAACCAAACCAACTAGATGCCTTAGGCTGGACAAACTTTCACACGCCTCTAGAAAATTTACAGCGTGTGTGTGTGTGTGTGTGTGTGTGTGTGTGTGTGTGTGTGTGTGTGTGTGTGTGTTTAATTTTGTTTCCTCAGATCCCCATCTCCTACCAAACATGAAAGTCTGTTACTTAGTGCCTTCGTGAATTCTAAATAACCAGGCCCAAGGAAATGAGTTTTCTGCTCTTATGTGTGTTTTCTGTGAGTTGCTTTGGAGCTTGTAAACTGTGAGAGTGCACATAATGTATCTTCAGCAGCCTCTCAGTTCTCTCCAGAACTGCTGAAGAGTAGCACAAACTAGATCGCGGACATCTGTTGGAGCACAGAGCAATAGGGACAGGGTCCCCAAAGGGCTAGCGATCCTGTTTCAGAGAGGTGTGGCCTAAAACAAAATTAGCATACCTCTTACAGATGGTTTACAGGTTACATAATCGTATTCAAGGTGTGGTTGATCTTTTAAACATTATTTAAATTATTTCTTTACCGACATACATATGGATGAAAGTCCATGCTAATAAACACGCACAGCAATAGGCAACTCATTTGGAGACTACAGCTAAGAATAAAGTTCACACATGCATCTTACAACCGAGGAAACAGAGACAGAGAGAAAGGAGCAACCAAATGCAAACATACCTCATATGAGAGAAAAGTTTAGGACCACAACGTGAGTGAAGGAGACTGGGAGGCTCTTTGTTTTTCAGATGGGCAAAGGTGGAAAAGGAACTTGGGAAGTAAAGTAAGTGACATGAAAGAGGAAGTGTAAAAGTGTGTGGCAGGGGCTTTTATAAATAACACTCCATACGAGACAAAAAGGAAGAGGGCCAGCCAAGTGTGCTAGCTCGTATCTGCGAACCTAGCTCTTGGAACACTGAGGCAGGGGAATTGCTGTGAATTCAAGGCTAGCCTGGGCTACAGAATAAAACCTAGTCAGAAGAGGGAAGGAAAGAAGAAGAAGAAAAGAGAAAGATCTAGGAATGTTCATTGGACTACTAGAGGGCACAAACGTGCACTATTTTTTTTTGTACATAATGTGAACAGTCCTCTAGAGGAAGAAGTTTTATAAATGGTGAACTCACTGCTCAGCACACTTCCCATTCAACTCTTTCATATTAAAGTAATATTAAATATTAAAAGGCAGCAGTCATTTAAAAACACTGGCCAAAAGTTACATCACCTCCTCACCACAACCTCTTCTTTTACGGTATTAAAGGAGGTGAGAAGAACTCTTTGTTGAGTTTTGTTTCTCAGTCCCTCCCTCCCTCCATCCTTCCCTCATTTAAATAGGTCTTTCTGCAGATTGGTTCTGTCTTTATCACCTTGACTAGCTGCACCCGAGCTGTAGGTACCAGTTATTAAAACAAGACATTCCTGCTATGCAGATCAGGCTTTGCCCATTAGGTTCATCTTGGCCTTTCCCACGCAATTTTTTGTTTGTTTGCTTTTGTTTTTTTGAGACAGGGTCTCTCTGTGTATCCCTAGTTGTCCTAGAACTTGCTCTGTAGACCAAGCTGAGTTCGAACTCACAGAGATTAAAGGTGTGTTGTCTAGACAATCACCCACACAAAATAAGAAAGCTGAACTCTTTCGGCACCTGCAAAAGATACAGGGAATTCACTTTATCATATGATGCTGGGTCCTGCACAGCACAATGATATGGTGCAGTAGTGACAACAGGAACTTGAAGCAGGACAACTGATGCTATATGGAGGATTTGCTAATAAACTTGCTTGGGAAATACTAAGTTATAGAAAGTGACTTTATCTAAGGGGATGCTGCCTCCAATATAAATGGAGGATAGAAAGCAAGAGAAAGTTTAGGGTTGCTGAGGGAATTTCTGCTAATGCCTGTTCACTGAGACTGACCTCCAGTGAGGCTCCATTTCCACAATAAACGGAAACAATGCTGACTTACCACCCATCAGGACCACCCCACAGCACAGAACAAGCCTCTAGGTGACAGCTCAAGGGGGCAGGGCAGGGTCACAGCCACCATTAAGTCCCCTTTGCTGCTGTTATCAGAAAAAAACATACTTCTGTTCAGTGATCAAGATGAAGCTGGGTAATAGCTGTTTGAAAATAACAACCCTGGTGTACCTAAATGATTCTGGCAATATCCTTGCTGTGTAAATCTCCCATCTGCCCAAGCGGCCACACTTGCAGTCTCCTGTCTCTGTTTAAATTGTTCGTTGTGTAACATGGACCTGGAAGAGATTTTAGATGACATTATATGTGGAATGCATAAGCCTAAGGTGGACATAAGCTAGTTAAACTCATCTGTTTGTGACCAGCTCCTCTTTGAGCATAAGCCAGAGTCAGTCATTTGCTATATTGTTTTTTTTTCCTTTATTAATCTTCAAGTGTGTGGAGCGATTTCATACTGGAGAGGCATAGCAATTCTATAACAGTAGGTCTGCATGACACACTATCCCCAGCGGCCTGTCTGAAGGCCTGACAGAACTGAGAGACTGAAACTAGATGGGAACCAGATGGAAAACAGCAACAGCACCCACACAAGAACAATGCTGGCATTCAGCCCACCCTGATTCTAAAGTGTGCCCTTCAGACTACTCGAAGTCAGCTTCTAACCAAGAAGAAAATGGTGTCCCAAAGGCTGTGTCAAGGCTCACCTAAGCAAGTCAGAGTTGAGTGTCTCTTGACTGAATAGGGCCATGATTCTTACAGCATTCCAAACATCATCTTCCTTCTCAGAAATAACGGCTGGCACCAGTAGTGGTGGCGCACGCCTGTAATCCCAGCATTTGGTGGGGTGGGGAGGCAGGAAGATCAGTGGTCCATGATCATCTTTACCTATATAAGGACTCTAAGTCCCGTCTCCGGTACATGAGACCCTAAGAGCAAATCTCAGACTTTTCTTCAGCAGACACATTGAAGATCTTTGGCGATGCTGCTGAGTGAATCTAGGGCCTTGTATGTACTTGGCTAGTGTTCAAACCCCGAGGTCCATCTCCAAACCCTGTACTACAGACGTTTAATGAATACACACTAAGTGCTCAGAAATACAAAAATAAACAAAAGAAAGCCCTAGCTTCCATCCTAATGTAGCTACGTTCAGGCAGAAGCGCTATCCAGGGGATCAGGATGGCTTTGAGTTCCAGTTTTCCTACTCACTGAGGTAGTACCTTCAATATTTCAATTGGTCCTGAACTTAGGCTTTCTGATGTAAAAGGTGGGTTATAGTTTTGACTACGTTGTATGTAATACTTAAATACAAATGTTCGTGGAAGCAGCTTGCCTGCACAATAATCTGTTTCCCAAAGAATCATGTTTAGTCTCTAGGAAACCTGAGGGGAGGCAGCCCTGTAAGGAGAGGGAACCTTAGGTCACATGCTAAAGATGATGCTAAAGATACTGAAGATGCTGGAGATGCTGGAGATGCGGTGCTTCTCCTCCTAGAGTCCATAAGCTAAAGACACTGCCTTGCGCTGCTTCTCCCAGAATCCAGCTCTTCCAGCTCCAGGGCCAGCTCTTTTTCTACACTGAAAGTGGCTACAGCCCAAACTTCCTGTTTAGATTAACTCTGGCTAGCAGAAGCCACAAAGGAGACAGGAATGTCTGACCCAGAAAGAGAGAAACAGGGAAGTTACAACCCAAGCAAGGATGCCATCCTGAAGTGATTCTGCTTTTTCAACCAAGAGTTCATTTTTGAATCTGAAACTGGAAAAACTGAGCT